ACACAGTGTCGGGTCCTCGCCTGAATGCTTTCGATTCTTTCTCAACGCAATTACCTGCGCGCGGGTCTAATTGTCTTGACTATTGTGTGATTTATCTCACTGTATGTATCTGTGTTCTGCATTTTTGCATTCAAACACTTTGACTCATGTTGCAAACATTGTCACAACAAAGTTCAACATTTTTTTTCTTTTTTCTTTTGTTTCTTATTTTCTGTTTTCTTTTCTCCTAAAATGTGCACTTTTTTTGTTTTTTTCCTTCTTTTATCTCTCTTACAATCATTGTTGCTCCTGATCGTCTCATTCTATTCACGAGCTAGGAAAAGGATCCCCCACCCCCACAGATAGGATAAACACAGTGAGGATGACGTGGATGTTCATAAGGATACCCAAGAAGAGCTACTTCAGCAGACCATTGAGCACGACGGCTAGCATGGACCAGCCCATAAAAACAGTCCATCAAAATAACATTTCCTAAATACATATTTATACGCAGAAGATGACCTAGTTTTTTCATGAAGATGTTGACATTCCTATTCGGATTAAAAAAATGAACGGTGTTATTGTTTGTTTTCTTTTTGTTTTCCTTTCGCGTTTGCGCTCTTATTGGCCATGTACGTAAGAGGTGATGAACAACTTGGGCTTTCATTCCTTACTGTGTTTCCTTTCCTTGTTTTGCTGTTTACGTCATTGCGCTCTGACTCAAAGTGTGACAGAGCGCGAAGGCGAAAAAAACAAAAGAAGGAAAGGAAAAAAAGTCAAGAAGGAAAGACCCAAGTGTTCGTCACGCCTTACATACACGACCAATAAGAGCACAAACCCGAAAGGAAAACTGAAAGCAAACAAAGAATCACGCCTTGCCTATGTTGTAATCTTCTTCATGACATACAATGCCGCCAACGTGGATGTAGGTTGACCAGCAGCTGCCCCCACCCCCCCGCGTGTCACATTCACCCACTTCAACAAAGGAAAACAAGAAAAGCAAAGCGCAAAAGAGAAATAATACAGTCTCGCCAACGGACCCAAAAAAACAAAAACGTTTATCAACGGAAAACAGTGCGTCATACGGATATGAGCGCGAATGAAAAAAAAAAACAGAAATCAAATAAAAACAACCACGAACCACGGTACAATGGGACATGACCAACCACGACAACAAAAAAAAGGACTCTCATCCGCAAAAAGATAATAAATCCGAAATACAAATCTACGAACACAAGATGACCTTGTCTGACATCAACATGTTAGCATTCATATTCGTAATCGAGTCCAATTGATATTCCAGCAGATGTGGCAGCAAAATCTGCACAAAACTCGGTGCTACATCCTGTAAAACCTAACATCATATAGAACACACACGCACACACGTCACAAAGGCCCTACTATGTGCTACGAAACACCCGCAGACGCGTCCGCGGGTCCGACCTCGGATGGCGGACGCAGATGGGTCTGCGTCCGCGCCGCGGACCCGATTTTACAAGAATTTTCCTGAATTAAATAATAGGTAAAAAAAAAAAAAGGGGGTTGTAGGGAATTTTAGACCCTACAACCCCATAATTTTTGTTTTGGAAAAATATACTTTTTAGGAATTTTAAAAAATAAAAAACCGAAACGGTGCAAAAAAAAAAATAGAAAAACAAAAAGAAAAAAAAACATTTTTTTTTTTTTCCATTTTTTGTTTGCAGTTGTTTGTGTTCTTCACTTTGTTGTGTTTTTTCTTTGTTATGAAGA